CAAAAAGTATGAAGTAAATAGATCCCCAGTGCGTCTGGGGTCTTCCCCCAGAAACATTTTCAATTAAGTAGGATTCCATTTCCGTATCTAGGCATTTTGAACACCATAATTACCCACCAGCATAATCCAAACTGCCTTCTGGTGAGATATAGTTCTGGGCTCAATATAAAAGTCATTGCAACAGGTAATGGTGTTCATAGTATTCTGGTGCTAATAGCTCCTCTGGCAGGTTAATGATTTTCTTCACCAAGGAGGGCTCTGGGTGATAAAATACACAGGGAACAATTTCACATTTAAACTATTTATTTGGACAACTCAAAAGAAACAAACTCATGGATGAAGCCATGAGAAAAGGGCTGCTCCATGCGTCAGGTGGCAGGGGATGAATCATCTCAAGTCTTTAAACACAAGTGGTAAATCAGAGTCTCAAAGTGTTTGAGCGTATAAACCAAGTCCAGTCTCAAGTGTTTGACCTCAAGTTTAAGTCAAGTCTCTGTGTGAGGCTGAAGTGCGACAAGTCTCAGTCTTTGTATGTAATAATGTATTTTAATATATGTATGTTTCGTATACTGGATACTTGAAATTCCCTCGGGATAAATAAAGTATCTATCTATCTATCTATCTATCTATCTATTGCAATGTGTCACTGGAGACTCAGAGCTCAGCCTGCGAAGTGCGCATGCGCTGGGAGTGAAGCGGAAGGAAGCATCATGTCGATAGAAGACCCATTTTTCGTTGTCAAGGGGTAAGAAATGTGCAAATTAACACCTAAACCTCAACGTTACCACATCCCAATTCAGGCAGTCACATGTTTAAAGTTGAACCGTGCAGCGAGTCGGCGTCTTCCTTAAAGACAAAGTTACAGTAGCGAAGTTAGCTCTACGGCTAGCTGTGGCTAACTAGCATCAGCGCTACCAGCTGCGCCGCGGAGGTAACGTTATGGTGGCTGTTTGTTTTGCACCAACAACAGTCAGTTCCGCACTGGGTAATCGCTGGGATTTGTTTTCGTTTCATCCGACTTTCACTGTGAACACCTCGGGCCGCTTTGGGACTCTGCTGGCGGGCAGTCTGCGAGGCGCTGCGAAGTTAGAGAAGGCTGCGAAATGTTCGCTTCTGTGTTTGTTTGGGTTAAAGTTGGTAAAAGTTCAGCCTGAATAACAGCCAGCTGTCTCTCTCCCTCCCTCTCCTCCCTCTGGGTGTGGTGGCGTGTGTGTGGGTGTGTGTGTGTGTGGTGTGTGTGTGGTGGTGTGGTGTGTGTTGTTGTGTGTGGTGTGTGTGTGTCTCTCTCCAGGGAGGTGCAGAAGGCCCTCTCCCGTGCTCGGGGCCTGTATGACAGATGGGAGGAACTGTTGCAGGATGGGACACAGGTGAGCAGCCTTCCACCTCCTCAGCAGTATCACAGCACAAGTCCCTGTCCTGACACACACACACACACAGCCACAGCCTAACCCAGAGCCAGGGTTTATGGTGGCCGAGAAAGCTCAGCACACTGCAAGAGAGAAACAGCGCAGATACATGAGGACACACGGGAGTGGGGACAACATACACATGTAAACACACGAACAAATAAACATGCTGCAAATATAGCATCTAAAAGTGTGCACAACACACGCTTATGGAAGAAAATAATAGTCAGTTTTGTTTTATTCTTCTGAATTCTTCTTAAATCCTGATTGCATTTACCTTATACCGATTACTATCGTTGTCATCAGTTTTTAAAGCCCTTTTAAAACTTTTTGGTATGTTGTCGGCTAACATGCTTCTTAATTTTCTTGTGTTTCATTTAGTTTGCAGTGTTTTACTGATGGTGCCAGGGGTGAAGGTCTTTTATGTGCTTAGGTTTTATTTAAATTTGCTGGTGCTTTCTCAAATTGAGTGCCTGTTGGTTTTTGTGTTCTCAGGTGAGTCGTGATGAGCTGGACTGGAGTACCAATGAACTGAGGAACTGTCTGAGGGCCATAGACTGGGATCTGGAAGACCTCAGTGAGACCATCAGTATCCTTTTAAACAGAGAAATATCTTTCCCCTAACGTATCTTCATTAAAACAGATTCTTTGTGGCACTCATTCTCCCTCTCCTCCCTTTATTTTTCCACTTACTCAGATGTATTAACCTTCTAAAGACCGAGCCGTTTTTACTCACATAATAATTAAACAAAGATCAGGAATATTAAAACACCTCCTCAGTTGTTAGGAAAATGTCAGAAATTAAATCTTTACTCGAGCAGAATATTCAGGCTAAGGAGTGAACACAACCTGCTTCCTTTTAAAGCTTTTAAAGGCTTCTTTTTAGGCTGTGACTCAGTGTGGGTATTATATTTTATATCAGAGGATGGCAGATTTGTTTGAAAGCCAGTTACACACACAATTGGTTTTAACATTGATAATAAAGTAAGAAGATTCACCAAGGTTTTAATTAAGGATTGGCATTGACTGGTGTATGGTCAGTAACACTGGGAGTGTGAGCTGTGACACCTTTTTTAACTGGCTGTGTGTTAAAGTACATAAGAATGTTGTTTCTTTGTGTCTTTAAAGTTATCTGTGATTAAAAAGAGGTCAGATAACATTTTGGACATATTCATATATACTTTAAAAGTCGGCTCTGCAATTTCCTAATAAACTTTAGCTTTTATTAGTATTTTCTTTTCCACATTTTGTCCCATAAATCATCATTCACTATTGGTCATGAATGCATTTAAACAAAACGTTGCAGAGTGTTAACAGTAAGTACATGGACAGTTCTGTTGGTGTGTCCGTTGGGTCCTTAACTGGCTCAGATATCGTCGAGTCAAATCCGGGGAAGTTCAAACTTGGTGACAATGAACTTCAGGAGAGGAGAGACTTTGTGGAACGAACCAGAAAATCTGTCCAGGTAACCTTTCAGCAACTCAAACTTTTTGTTTTTACCACCATGTTTTTTCCATCTCATCTATTGTGATGTTGAACCTTAAAGTGTGTGTGTGTGTGTGTGTCTGTACCATAATTGTGTTCCATGAACATTTGAGAATGAGATGAATTGCCTCATCAGGTATTTGATAAACTGGATTTCCTGGAAAAACAAATTCTATTAGAGGCGATTGATAAATCAGCTGCACTGATGTTGTCAGTTGATATTAGTTTATATTGATTCCTTCAGATAAATAATAATGCTGAAGATACACTTTAATTTATAAACAGCCATTAGATAGTTGGTCCACCAGAGAGGACAAATGTATTCTTCCATTGTAAAATGTTAGTGCTCAGTACTTATCTTGGTAATAACAAACACATTTAAGGAAATCTAATCAAAAATGTGTCTATATGTGATTTGTTTACTTGAAAAAAACCTGAAACTGAAATGTCTAACCCTAAATAAAGCTGCATTGGTCAGGCTGTAATTTATTATATGTGTTTTTTATCTGTACTGTTTCTAAATAGAAAACGTACTGTATCATGACGCATTACTATTTTTTATCATTTTCTCCCACCCTGACCAGTGGCTGTGTCCAAAATCACTATCTATTTACTACATAGTGCGCTTTGTTTACTGTCCACCATTGTATTTGAATGTCTGAATTCGAAATGTGAGTTTTATGCACCATAAAGTGCCCTCACAAAACAGTCCAACAGTGCAGTGACCCTGCTTTATAGATGTGAAAATTACAGTTGTGTGATAAACGAGTCCCAGAAATCTCAATTTAATGCGCAGTGTAAACTAGTGAATACACATTATATGGGGAGTAGTGAGTGGTGAATGGCGGTGTGATTTTGTGAGTGTTGGGCTTGCCTGTATTTCCTCCATGTTGAAAGAGCAGCTGTTGCATGCGGAACAGCTGTTATGTGCAAAACAAATGGTTATTATGTGTTCATACTGCACAAGAAAAATACAAACTGAAGCAGTTCACTGGGGTCTAATAATCTGACGTTTATATACAATTTTTGCCTCTGCACAGAACGTGTATATTTTATTTTGAAAGGTGTTACCAGTGGTTACAAGTGTCCGTGTTGTGAGGGAGACAATAACATTGCCTGCAAGGCCTCTGTTTTGTTTTGGTGACTGAAGTGTTTCCAATAAAGCGCACAGACTGTACAGGTCAGACAAAGCCAAACATCAGCCAAAGCAGCAGCTCCCACAGCTGAAGCAGCGAGTAACTAGTGTGTTTTTATTGCAGTGAGACATATCATTGATTATCCGTCAATACCCGTCAGTCCGTTTACCTGTTCAGTTCCTGACTTGGCTGAGGACAATCAATATCCACGCTGCTGGCACAATGGAAAATATGAGTCAGTTTCCAACACATGGGTCTTACAGGCAAAGGTACCATCCTTAAATAGGCCTGAAGAGAATTGAGTCATCTGAGCCAAACAAAAGAGCTTTACTGAGAAGGAACAAAAGACTTTCTGACATTTTGATTTGCCGGCTGGTGATTCTGGAACAGCGGTAGAAAATCTTTTAAATAAAACCGTCTGTATGGAGCCTGGCTCTTAAAGTGATTTTTGCTACAATTGTGAAACATTGTGGAGTGAGAATTGTAAATCAATTTTCTGTGTTTTGTGTTTTGTGTGGTGTGTGGTGTGTGTGTGTGTGTGTAGGAGATGAAGGATCAGTTGTCCAGCCCCTCTGCTGTGGCTCAGGCAGAGAAGAAGAACAGACAGGTTGGTGGATGTTTAAACACACATAATGAGTACACAGATAATACACTCTACTGGGTAAAATGTAATGAATGCTCTGAGTTATGTAACTCTCAGAAATGTGAGGTTTTCAGGTTACAAACCAATATGTGCCAATATCATATATATATATATATATATATATAATATATATATATATATATATAATACTATATGTATATAATAATAATGAATATATATATATATTATATATATATATATATATATAAAATACTGAATGAAATATATATATATTAATATATATATATATATATAACTATATATATATATATAGTATATATATATAAATATGAATATATGATAAATAAAATACCTATATATAGTATACTATATATATAATAATAAAATATAATATAAATATAAATATAAATATAAATATATAATATATATATATATAATATATATATATATATATATAATAGTAATATATATTAAATATAAATATACTATTATACTATATATAAATATATATATATATATAATAATATATAAATATATATATATAATTAACATGGTCAGTCGATCCACAAATAGAGCTGACACGTTTGTTTAAATGATTTCAAACAAAACCACAAAGCCTAATCCTACATCGGACAGTTTACTTTAGGTCACAATTTTTCCATCTAAGGTCTCCTTTCAAAACATTTCCACACATTACTTACCACATAGTTTGAAAGGCTATTAGCCTTTTATTCAGTTTGCCTTAGCAAACAACTGTAGCCTTGTTCAGTGGTAGAGCCACAGGCACCATGGATGTATGAAGGAGGACTGAATACTGTGTCTAAAGACGTTGCCCAATTCATTTGGATAAAAGTTGCTCTAAAAAGGCCACTGAGTGTTTCCTCATGCTTCTGCATTTTGGGGCCCAAAGAGCATGCTCAGTAGAGTCCTCTTCCAGCTGACTTCCTGTTGGCTTGTTATTGGACCACATTTAGCAAATTTCATTTTGGAGCATTTGTCAAGCTCAAAAGACTTTTTTCCCCATTTTACATCGCCTTCTTATGCAGTGATTGTGGATGGGAACAGTGCAGTTTAGACTCTGCAATGTCGAAACACAAAGCGCATTTTAGGAAAAGCTCCTACTGGAATACAGGATGTTGCCCATTTACACTGTGAATTTGGAATAAATAGTGACAGCCCCAGTGGTCCCATGAGATCTCTATTACATGCCAAAATGTCTGGATGAATGAAAAATGGAGAGACAACTAAATTAAAATTGATTATCTGTACGGTGGCCATTTAGGACATCGCAGGTGCGACGTTAGGTTGTCAGACTTGACTACACTTTAATCAGACAATTTCTACTTTTGTTATATTTACAGTATAATGCTAGTGTGTGAATATTGTAACGGTTGCATGTAAACATGCTTAGATTTAGTTTTAGCAGTGCAGAGTAATTGTAAGTAGACAGGAAGCAGTTTGGAGTCTTCTGTGTTTTCAAGGACTATTTTTTTTTTTTAGTTGCTCATAGTTTTTAACAGCTTGACTGATTCAGTCATCGCTTATTTAAACTTATATTTCACACTTGCTAATGTGTTGAACACATTTCCATCTGATACAAACACAAACTCTTGCAGCAGCTTGTGATTTGGAAAGTGTTGTAGTCAATAGCAGCTGTAAAGCTCTAACAAACTGACATTGTTCCAAACATAGGCCTGCTTTTGCGACTACTAGAATATAATACACACACTCCGGTTTTCCTGCTGATCTTATGTCTCGTGTGTGTCTTTGTCCAGGCTCTGCTGACTTCATCAGGCCAGGACAGATCAACGGGACTGGAGGCTCATATGGTGTCTGCAAACTCCAGATACATCGAGGAGCAACAGGAACAGCAGCAGGTAGAAGAGAGAGAGCAGGGGTTGATTAAGAAAAAGGGGAAGTTACTGGGGTGTGAGAAGAAGAAGAGGGGAACAAGACCGTAGCAAAAGGAGGAAGGGAGAAATCCTATTTCATCAGTTTTCTATTCTCTACTTTAGATATACATTTCAGTCACAGTATAAAGAGTGTAAAGAGAGGTTTACACTCAGCAGGAAATAAGTGGCCAGGATTACTTTACAAAGTAAGGCTTCTGTCTCCTTCAGTAGTCCCTCTACATTGAGTTTATTTGCAGTTACACATGTGATTTCATGTAAAATGACACTTCATATAAACTCCCATATGAGCGCATCCTAACTGTCAGACTGAAGCTTGAAAACGTTGTAATGTTTGTTTTTTATTAGGTTATGTTGACAGATGAGGAAGATGATTTAATCAAAGGATCTCATTACAAGAATAGAAAATGAGCACAGAGAGTAGGATTCCTGCTGCAGTCCTTTATAGAGGTGAGGTAGACGCAATCTTTATCTGCTTTACAAAGTATCACGCTGTGAATGAGGTGAGGGAGGACATGTAAAGGTTATTTTCAGTGTCAGAGTATGAGCTGTTGGTTTCTATTTCCTGTGGTGTTGAATGATGAAAATGTTCACACATCCTGTGTCAGGTTGTGGTTTTAGTGGGAAATGAATGAAAAACACTTTGCTTTGTTCACACCTTTGATGACAAGATTTCTGCTCTTGTGGAGTTTCATCAGCTCTACCAACGTGTGTGGTCTTTTAGGCAAATTGCACGGTGCTAATGTTATCAATGCAAAAATAGATCTGAATTATCAGCAGGAAAATAAATGGCACATTAGGAAGTGTAACTGTGTGTGTGTGTGTGTGTGTGTAGCTGATCGTGCAGGAGCAGGATGAGCAGTTGGAGTTGGTGTCGGGCAGCATCAGAGTCCTCAAAGACATGTCGGGACGCATCGGGGACGAGCTTGACGAGCAGTCTGTGTGAGTGTATGATGTATAATTCCACACAAACAATTAGACGTTGTATTGTTTCTCTGCTACTCTTTGACTGCAAATTGCATTGAGTTTAGTGAATTAAAAAACACATACTTCGGATTTTGTGAGGGTGATTTTATGGCTGCAACTAACAGTTATCTTCGTCATCGATTAATCTGACGATTATTTGCACAGTGAATCATTTAGTCTGTAAAATGTCACAAAAAAACCTCCTCAGAGTCCAAAGTGAAGCCTTCACATTGCTTCTTTTCTCCAACCACCAGTCCAAAACCCCAAGACGCTTCATTTAGTATCATAAATGAGAAAGAAAAACAGCAAACACTTACATTTAAGACCTTTGTGTTTGAAAAATCATGAATCAAATATGAAAATAGTTTTAGTTTAGATTCCAAATTTTTGTTTTGATTGACTAATAGATTAATTGACTAATCGCTGCAGCTCTATTAAACACAGTCCTTATTTCTTTGGTCAAGAATACACAGACATCTACACAGTGCTCAAAATATGTCCCATTGTCCTGGGGACACGAAGAGACAGTCAAGGAACGTTTCATTACAAATTAAATGATTACATTTATGCATAATGCCATACATAGCTTTTAAAGATTTTGTGTGGTGTCTACGCTACTTTACACAGAGTACACAAACAAAATCAATCATAGAAAGAGACCAGGGTCGACAACTTTTCAGACCCGTTATTCCAGTATTTTTTAGTTTTAGAATGAAGTACTCTGATACTTTCTCCATAGGACAACAGTGGAGGTTGAACTGAACGTCCCTGAACCGCACACACAGTTTTTAAGTATGATTCCCAATAACGTTTCCTGAGACTGTGCAGGATGCCAGTGTGTTTAGACAACAGAAGGGGGAATAAACAAAGCAGGTATATGTCTCCAGGAAGTAGGAGGATTTTTCTTACATTCCTTTGAGCAGCTGTCAGTGAACAGTGACTAAACACCCCCATGGAAACACACCGTTAGCAGCATACATGAACTCCCTCACCTTTTAATCATCAGTAAACACTGACTCACACTCTGTAACAGTATACCTTTTTTAGACCTACTGACATTTGTGCCTCGCTACCTGCAGCCCCCATCATCTGTAAAGCTATTAGAGGAAAGTTCCAGCTGTCATTACACTCTATCTCCACCCTCAGGACACACTTTCCTATTTTAGCCTAGTCTTTACTGGCTCTATCAATCTGTTTCCACCAACACTTAAATATTGTGGGAAGCAATAAACGCTGTGGACTTTAAGGGTGCCAGCAATCTTTTAGCAGTTTAATCTTGATTTTTTACATCATTCAGATGTTCAGACCACATTTCATTTCTCCTCTCATATCATGTGGAGCTGTAAATGTCTGCCGTGGCCAAGGACACTTGATCATAATAATTGGTTTTAGTGGCTAAATAAGATTTCAAGTACATGGAGTTTGATCTAGTGAGTAGAGTAGAAAGATGAGTGCGCAGTGTTTGAGATGTTACACTTGGTTTCACCGACTGTGTGCTCCTCCTGTTGTTCAGTATGTTGGGGGATTTTGGAGATGAGATGGATCAGACATCATCCCGCATGGACTCAGTGCTGAAGAAGCTGGAGAAGGTGTCTCACATGACCAGCAGTAGGTTTACACACACACATACACTTTTGCTGTTCCTGCTAATTGTAATGTGCATTCATGAGTTGCTTGCAACACAACTACATTGAGAAAAGCTCTTGAAAGTGTGGATTCAAATTGTATTCTTGACTTTGTGATGAAATCTGGAGACTGTTCAGCTTCTGACGTGTTTTAAGACTCGCCTGTAAATCTGCTAAAAGTTTGGCAGTGTGCAAAAATGTGTGCGGAAACTGAGCCTGACTTATAGCTAAGTGACACACCATGTGTCAGGGTTATTATTATCGTCCAGTTTTGCCCAAATCCAAATAACAGGAGCTGAAGCTGATATTTTTTTAGTTCAGTGATGTGTAGCTTCTAGAACTAGTTTCCACTAATTGAAATTAAATTGTTAGTACATAGATAATCACACAGATATAACTACACAGAACATCCACAACCACTGCTTTATCAGTAGATATCCTGTTGTGTAAACACTGCACTGATTCTACGTCTGCAATCACTGATGTATTTTCACTTTGAGGAACACGGGAACAGCTTGGCTCTGTGTAAAGGTTTGAAAATCAGGACGAAATATCAAACATTTCTGCTCTTGCGTGTCGGCACAGCAGGTTGATCCTCACACGTTTCCTCTTAAAGCAGTTCATCGTTACAAACAACAACAACAGTCAATATGGTAATTATTCCTGAAAGCAGTGATCAGTCTCAGCCTGTGTGTTGTGTCTGTGTTCAGGTCGGAGACAGTGGTGTGCTATCGGCGTGCTGGTCGCCATCATGATCGTGGTCCTCATCCTCTTCTTCGCTCTCTGATGCCGGCGACCTCTGACCTCCTGACTATGTTCAGCGACTCCTCCCTGTTAGGACAGACGGATAGATGGACAGACACAGGAGGAGGGGGGTGTCTCTCTCCTCCTTCCCCTCCCCTCCCATCCCTCCCTTTCTTCACACTGAGGAGAAAGCGGTGACCTGCAGAGAGGAGTCGGGATATAATCCTCCTCCTCTCAGCTTTTAATGATTCTAGTGAAAAACAAAAACCTGCTGATGTCTGTCAGTAGAAGAGCTTAACACAGGAAAAACCCCAGCGGTATTATGTATTTCATACTGGTGCATTTTGGTTATTGTTGGAAATAATGGTACTGAATGGGAGGAACAGGAAGCTGCTGCTGTCAGGAGAAAAACACAAATCTTTAAAAAGATCAGCAAATCCAGATGTGTTCAAGATATCTTCACGTCTATCACAATCACACGGACATCGGAGTTTAAAATCCACACCCAGCTACTGTTAAGTAGCTAAATAAGTTTCTGCCATTGAGTAGTGACGTTCAGAAACAGCAGCATTTAAACACTTGTTTCTTTTCAGAACTACAAAACTGTCCCGTTTTCATCATGAATCGCAACTCACAGTCCGTGATGAAACACAACCTAATCTATTTTAGAACTGAGTAGTTATGAATAGTTTGAGCTTGTAAAGTGCTTTGTAGGACAAGTGAAAGGACGGACAAAATGCAACTGAGAACAGCTATTGTGTCACTAATTTCAGTTGGCTGGTGAGAGCTGATTGTCGGCAGAGCTGCCAGCCAAATAGTCGTTTTTGGACACTGACAACTGAATTCATTAACGCTTAAATGAAGAAAAGGGCAGTTATTTGTGTTTTAAGCCGACAGCAGCAGTGGGGGAGGGAGTCTATTGGGGGGGTGGACAGGGTTTTTCAGTGTTGCCTTAAATATATTTTTATATTGTTGTGAAATGTGCAGTGTGTTTCTGTGCCTACATGTGAATCCGGGCGAGAAATGAACACCCGAGTGTGACAGTCATCCGTTGAATCTGGAGAACGGGCGCTCGTAGTTTGCCAAAAGTCTGCAACATGACAGCAGCTGAGTTCACTGATGACCAGTTTCAGCCAGGACGGCAGAGTTGGTGACCTCTGAAATCAGCTGCTGTGGTGTTTGTGGTCAAACCAAACATGTGGACTCGTAGCAGGCCTGGCACCAAGCCGCCCGTCCCCTGCTACTAGATGCTGGTTTCGCTCTACTGCCCACTTTGTCAGAAATGTGCACATTCCTGCCGCCGTGGCCAGCGGACAGAAACGGTTCATTTCCTGCCCCCACGATCGCGATCCGTCTCGGTGAGGTGAAGTCAGGTCTGCAGCCAGCCGCCTTCGCGCCCCTGCAGGCGGTTGGGCACACGATTGGCTGAGGCGTTGTTACTCACACTGGGTGATGAGCGACAACCTTGGCTCAGAGCGAATGAGTATGCCTGTTTTATTGAAAAGCCTTAGCTAATGAGAGGACGAACCGTTGCTGGGCAGGATGTCTCCACACGCAGCCCACATTCAGGCTGACAGCGCCCTCTGCTGGAGGCTGTGGGGCATGTTATTTCTTTATGTCAGGTAACACTGCCCATGCCAGGGCGTGTTACAGCGCTGCATAAATCTATACTATGATGCTTTACATTTGTGTGTAAATGGCCATGATTCCTGTACAAAGGCTTTATCCAGATTCAATCTTGTTTTTAATCCTGTGTGATTTCACTTATGGTTTTTGAATTTAGTAGTTATGATATTCCCCTTGTTTTGCACCAGAGGAGTCAGAGGTCAGATTCCCAGGATTTAATGCAGGTGGGGGTTCAGGGAGGTTCCACTGCATCGAGTCCCCTCCCTGCCAGAGCAGTTAATCCTGTTCTCTCACCAGTTCACATATTCAAGCCCTCGTTCGTTAAATGCTTCAGTGGGGAAAATTAAGTGAATACTTGGAAAATGGCTGCAGGCATTAATGAAGCCCTCGTGTGGCTTCCACTCCAGTCCTGAGTCACAAAGTAGAGGTTTGTGAAGTTAAAGGCATCTTGAAACACTGAAGGATTTCTACCGTATAGTAAACCTTAGTTTTCTGTGAAGTTGAGGCTGTTCAGTCCTTACTGTTTGGATTTGACTGCACCTGATTTTACAGCAGGATACTGCATGGGAGAGTTCTGTAGTCAGTGCAGTCTTTTTTGGCTTCTTTCCAGGTCAACAGACAAGAGAAAAGACTCATTTGAGGCTTTGTAGTCTTTGTTTTTCAAAATGGAACATCAAGGCAGTGATAACTGTGACAGAACTTAACTCAGCAACAGTTAGTTTCTCTGAACTCTTAGGTACATTTTTTCAGAACATCTTCTGACTCATCTTTACCTGCCATCATCATCATCACTGTTTGTGTGTCAGTTATTGCTTTTTGGTTAAAGGTGGATTTGGGAAACTGACCTCTGACTGGTTAAAAACTGCTGATGTAATGAATCTTCTCCTTTAGTTAACTTAAGTGCCAATGATCAGAATTTGATTTACGTTGTTTAACCAACCAGCAGCTACACACAGGAGCTTTAGGCTGGGAATTTTATTTTGAATCTAACCAAACTTTTTTCCCTTGGATGACCCGTGTTATTGTAATCTTTTTGCTGGTGAAACAGTAAAGAGGTATGGGGGGGGGGATGAATGTGCACAATTGTATACAGTACTGGCTACCACCGTGCCCTTTAATGCCAAACAGCATATGTGTCTGCAGTGTTTTTAACTAAAAAAAAAAAAAGGGTAATGGAGGCGGCTAAACATTACTTGTCATTGAACTGCTCTGCTATATTAGATACTTCACTATCACACACACTACATGAAGAATGAAAGTCACGTGGCAGCTGTTGCTGCTTTGACAAAAACAAAACATTACATCTGCATAAAGTGGATTGAATGATTGTTTTCTTACTGGTTCATGCAGATTTCTGAAATTGTTCAATGAGGTTTTAAGTTTCATTAAACCTGTTCGACATGAAGCAACTGAACATTGGTGGAGATTTCTTAATCATGAAGGTTCCTCTGATTTTTTGTGAATTTTATGTATCTAAAAGACTTTTTAAACATGAATAAATCTATGTTTAGACTCGTAACTTGTGGTTAAGTTCCCCTGCTGTATGTTTGAGTGAATACAGTATTTTTGGCTCCAGTTCCCCCAATGATTCGTACTTAAGGTAAAAGCTTTCACCAAATTGCAGATGTTACACGAGTGAGTTTTAATCGAGAGGCACTCTTGAAAATGGAAACATCGCCAGGTCCTATTCTGAGAGCAGAACCATCATGTGAAATTACATTTACTTTAGCTGTAATGAGCGGAGCGCAAGTCCCTGGTGGCTTTATGAACTGCAAGGAGCTGTGAAAATAAGCATGCAGCAGCCGGGAGCCCGATTCGCTCAGACACGCAGCAGACGTCCTGTGAAACTCTGCAGGAGCGAGAGACACTGAGACACTGTCAGTGACGAGCTTATTTAAATTACAATAGCGCTTCTCACACTGGTAAAAAATTATTATTTTATTATAAGTTAAACAAGAATGATATTTCGATACAGTTTTATATCAAACTCCTGTTCTGTATTGGGAATTAACATTTTAGTCTTTTACTTTTTCACTCAGGATGTGGCAACATGGGACAATGTGAAAATGACATGGTCCATTTCACACAGGCTGTAAGTGACAATTGACAGGAAATTAATTGCCAATTATATTGATAATTTAAGTCATTTATCAAGCAAAACTGCTGAACAATAGCTGGCTCCAGCTTCTCTAACACTGCGTTTGGCTGTTTTATATAATTGTAAATTAAATATGTGAAGGTTTTGGACTGTTAATCGGACACAGTGGGCTTACTGAAATTGTGATGAGTAATTCTTTTTTTAGTATTGTTCTGACATTTAAAGGACCAGTGTGGAGCATTTAGTGACATCTAGCAGTAAAGTTGCAGATCGCAATGCACTGAACACCTCTGGCGACTATATGACGGCCTGGGAGTGAGAACGGGCTGCGAAGGACAAACTACAGTGGCCCCGAAACTCAGCCAGTGTGTGCTTTGTACATCTGGGCTACTGTTTCCACCAACATACAATCCAAAAACACACAGTAGTGGCTGCCTCCTCCCGTCAGGGGTTCAGTCACAGAGAGCGATCTGAGGAAAACACCACACTCCTGGAAATGGTGAAACATTTGAAACAACATGAAACATGAAAGTAGTTTTACCTTGTGAAAGCTTGTTGATGACAATTCATATTTATTAGTGGTCATTATCATAGTCTATTATCATAGTCCAGCTATTGGTTTTTAAATATCCTTCTTTCCTACCAGTCAGCCATTGGTTTCAGGTCATTTTAGTACATAAGATGAAACCTGCGTCAGGTAAGCTGTTACAATGAGCATCATTATTGTAGTTTACAGTCTAGAAAACCAGTCTGCATTTAAGGAAATTCTGACATGGGAGATTTAAAAGTAGAAACATGTTTACAAAACTCACTGTATCACTGATATTGATAATTTATCAGGTGAATTTAGCAGATTCTGTAACAGAAAAGCTGAATCTGAATCTCAGATGCCGACATTTTCTTAATATTTAAAAGAAAGAAAGAGACACTCACCAGGTTGTGATTGGCTTTTACTGAAAAGTGTCAAACTGGAAACAAACAGCAGCTGCTCTGGAACTGTCAAACTGCTACCAATGATCAAAATCTATTTTTTTGTATCAGTTTAGGGAGAAATAGAAAACCAGTCATATTATCTAAATATCCAAATGTGTGTGTGTAAAAGTGAAAACGTGCAGAACCACCAGCTGGGCCCTTTAACTTTTTGTGTGTTATTTCTTTCCAAAGTCACACCTTACTTTAAATGAACCAAATTAGCATATTCTGGAACTTCTAATGAGGTAGTATCCTTTTGAGTAGAATCCAAAATTTTAATGTGGAAATTGCTGAACAAACATATCAGGCACACTATTGGACTATTTGTACATGTTGTAATAAATGTCTGGAGGGGTCTGTAGTTTCATCAGCAATAAATCCCTTTCCTTGGTGTGGTTAGACCCGTACAGTGTGGAGGCTAATGTCAGCAACATGAGACGGATGTGACATTACTGAGCAACCTTTCTGACATTGTGACTATTCTACGTGTGCTACTGTCACACCTTTTAGCTTTAGCGTGTGACACAAACACAGCAATGGTTTATCACAAGAACAAGCTGAAAATACATTGTACCTGACCATTATGCTAGCAGTCAGTCACTTTGTACAGACAAATGTCTCGACAACAGATTTGGGCCCCCTTGTAATAACTTTGGTCATCACCTGACTTTCCATCTAGTACCACCACCAGGTTCAAAGTTCACTTTGTCCTTTACTTGTTGTTAAATGACCCATTCCCATCAGTCTCAGCTCAACTTTGTATTTTGTGCAAGTTAGCAAATGTTAGCATGCTAAACTATGATGATGAACATTATAAACATTATACATGCTTAACATCAGCACGTTCGCTTGGTCCTTGTATGTCAGCACACAGGGAATTGAACACGTCATTATGCTACATATTCTAATGGAATAGAAGATCAGCTAAAATGGGATCCATTCATCCTGGAGCTCAGAAAACGGAAATAAAGACCCAACACAGCCGTAAGGTCAATCCTGTTTGTTAAAAACCTT